TCTCTACTATAATACTCAAAAGGCCATCTTCCAAAATTTAGTAAGGATTCCATTTCAGTCTCATACCAGCTTTATGAAAAAATGTGATTAAGCTCCATATAATCACGCTCATTCATACAACAACAACAAAAAAGGCAATTATGTAATTCCTTTTCAAGTATTTATTTAAAGCAGTTTCCATGACATGTTAAATGTCACATTCAAGTACTGGCGTTAACAGATCTCGTAAGTTTCTTCCAGTATTTTCTTTCTAAAAGCAATTAAAGGAAGTAACCTTGCCTTTGAATTCTCGAGTGCAAACAGAATACAACCAATCCAATTACAAATAGATACAAATTAACTTTGAAGAGTTGCTGCCAAACATCAAGTTTCCCAAAATAGAATTCTAAAACCTTTATCACTATAGTTAATGAAAATCCCTCCCACTTTAAAGTAACAAATTTGGACTACTTTAACACCTTCCCTTTATATAGAATCTAATTTTGAAACATCGTACTTGCTCTTTCTTAAACTGGGGAATGAACCCGGGGCTTCCCTCCTTAGGCACGTGCCCAGGCCCTAATGCAATTTCCTAAATTCTTTCCCCTTCACCTTCCTAAATCACATGACTCTCAGATTATCTAAGGCCATTTACATTAAAGTTGCCACAACCAAACATCCTTAAGACTCTAAGGTGCTCAGGACAAGAGGGTAAATACATAACCAGCCCAACTCCAGCAAGGCAATTTCAGTCAGCCAGTGGTTAATTCAAAATGCAATGGATGACTCACGTCATTGATGAGAGGGTTGAGGTACAAACAGTACTGACTGTAGAGAATTGAAAAACTACAAGTCAGTGTGTTCCCAACTACGGCCACTTACTGCCACTGTCACTTGTATACTCACTAGAATGCTAACAATCTTCTGAATTATTCTTCCATGCTAGATGCAGAATTACTTTATAAAAATATGTAACTTTGTCTTTATACGAGATAAAAGCAAAAACTAGAACACCTTATGGAACAACATGTTTATTCTATCTTTGAGTTAAGGTTTTTAATACAGTAGCATAGCTAAAGGGAGTTTATGTGAAATAAAGAATCCCAGGCAACACTGCCTTACAATTCACATATGTAGATGGCCTACACACGTCTATGAAGTACATTATAATCACCCTTCCCCCAATTACTGGATTACAGGCAACTAAGGGCAAATTCAACGACAGCAAATTGAATTTGCACAATTGTGTATTTAACTTTACCCAAGGAAATTTTCAGACAAGAGGTCTAAACTCTGCTAAACTGTTAACAGCTTTAAAGTGGCCAGCAATGAATAAAAGATGTACCGTTATCTTTCAGCCTTGCCAAAAGTTAGTTTAAAAAAAAGAAAAAGCAATCTATTGCACTATTAGGAAATTGTTCCAAAATAAATTAACTTCATTACTACCGTATTAAGCATGGACCTAGAGTTTAACAATGCAGGCATTATGTTCATAATCAACACAAAAACTGTGCTAGATACTGGGTTCAACCCTTCTGGTTGCCAATCCTAATACCTCAACATCCGAAACACAAAATGCAAAGCACAAGGTAGTCTGAACTAAGGAAACATTCCAAGCATAAAAGTATAACAACCTTACTCAAGATAAGCTGCCATCTCCACAACACCCCGAATTCTAACTTGGGAACAGCATACAATGAATTAACAGTTGCCCCAGTGCCCAAAGGATAGATATGGCTACATGGCCTGACTCTAATACACACTAAGTTTAGGCAAAGAATTTTTAAAAAGGAGAAACAGAACCCCAGGAAGAGAAGTAAACTCACCTGGTAGTAGATACCTAGTAAACCAAGATCAAAACTGACTTGGGATTGGCAATACAGTTTTACCCAGAACTAAAAATCAAAGCTACCTAACAGTCTACCAAGAACGTGTTTCTATACTGAACTCCAATTCTAAAAGGGTAATGAGCTGTCAACATTTAATTTTCCCGCCTTATTTCCTTCCCTCAAGCTTTTCACCACTAACCATGTACAACACACACACAACCAACTTTATTGAAATTCTACTGAATAGCAGGCATTTTTTAAAATGTGGGCAGTGGGGGACAAGTAAGAGGAAATAAGCTTTCTAAGTTTAAGAGTTTATGAACAAATGTTAAGAAAACAGTTTTCTGTGAGCATGGAGGGGATTTCAAAATACCCCTGCAGAGCCCCCAATGACAGATGTGGTAGCCCAAGCACTGGTACACATATGGTAATGAACAAAACCAAGGACTGGTTTAAAGTCACTCAAGACCGCCAGATCTTCCAGCAGCCAACGGACTCTCATTCTGGCAAGAAACTAGTGTCTGAAGCAGTTGCAATGGCTTTCTAAACACATATGCCTTCTTCCCTCTTTGAGATGAGAACACCGCAACCCAGATGCTCACCCTTCAGGCAGGGTGGAAACTCACGCAAGCCTAACCAGAGTATAAAAATATCTATCTAGAGGTTCATTCTTAATAGTGTGAGCCAAGGAT